ACCTTTAAGGCATAGAAAAGTATGTTATTCATAATTTGAGGCTTAGTATTTGATAGTCACACAGCTGTTAACGACCTTGTTCCTAGAACTTATAAAGAACTCTCACAACTCCATAAGTAAGAACAAACAGCTGAACTTTTAAAAAGGAAAAAAAAAAAAAGGTGCACAGGTGGAAAATGAGCACCTAACAAACTGCTCAAAATAATTTGTCTTTAGGGAAATTCACATTAAAGTGCGGTGAGATGCCAGTATGCACCAACTCAATGGGCTGAAATTGAAAAAGACTGGCCACACCAAGGACTGACGGGGTCAGGAAAGAACTGGAACTGTGGGAGCGTCCAATGCCACAAACACTTAGCAAATCGTTTTGCAGTCTTGTTAAGAAGTTAACACATATGTGCAAGGCAGAGCCCTGGGAAGGTGCAGGGCCAGTGAGATGGTCACACACTGCTGCTGGGAATGGACCATGTCACAGTCACCTTAGAAAACGTTGTGGAGATTTCGTGTAAATTTAAGCATATGCTTGTATAAAGCTGCATCTTGATCCAAGCTTTTCCACGTGACATGCTAACCTGTGTCAACACAAGCATCTGTATGTGAATATTTATAGAAGTTTGACATGTATTAGGCCAAAATGTACACAACTCAGTGTTCCTTACCTGGGGAATGGATATGCAAGCTTGGTAGATCCACACAATTGAATTCCACACAACAAGACAAGAATAAACTACAGATACCCACAACGGCAGATGAATCCTAAATGCATCGGACTAAGTGAAAGAAGCAGGCTTAGAATTCTAAACACATTTTTAGTTTATCTTATTGTTTTAGAGAGAGAGAGTGCTCACAAGCCAGGGGTGGGGCAGAGAGAGAGAGGGAATCTCAAGCAGGCTTCATGACCCATGGGGAGCCCATAGCAGGGCTCGATCTCATGATGATGAGATTATGTCCTGACCCAAAGTCAAGGGTAGGCCGCTTAACCAACTGAGCCACACAGGTGCCCCACGTATACATTTTTAGTTCCACTTTGTGAAATTCTGGAACAGGCAAAATTATGAAATAATAAGTCGTGGAGATGGAAAGTGCAGTATAGGGAACATAGTTGATAATATTGTAACCACGAATGGTGACAGAGGAGGATTGCACTTCTGGTGGGTACTGAATGATGGACAGAATCGCTGAGTCAGTATATTGTACACCTAAAACTAATATAACACCATACATCGATAATACTTTAATAATAAATTTAACTTAAATTTAACTTAAAAAACAGAAATTGTATCAGTGGTTATTGGGAGCCTGGAATGGGGAAAGAGTTAATAATAAGGTTGCATGAAGGAAATTTTGGCTACAGTGGAACTGTTCTAGATCTTGTCCAAGATCTAGAACTGTTCAAAATCTAGATCTAGATCTTGACTGAGGCATGCATGTGTAAAAACTCAAAGAACATTGGGTGTTTGGTGGCTCAGTTGGTTAAAACATCTGACTCTTGATTTGGGCTCAGTGTCATGATCTCAGGGTCATGAGACTGAGCCTCGTGTCAGGCTCCTCAGTCAGTATTGAGTCTGCTTCAGATTCTTTCTCTCCCCCGCACCTGTCATTTTACCCCTTCCCCTGCTCATGCACACTCTATAAATAAATTAAATCTTTAAAAAAAAGCCTCAAAGAACTTTGCACTAATAACACTGAATTCTAATAACAGTGAATTCTAATAACAGTGAATTCTACTGTATGTGTATTAAACCTTAATTTAAAAAATGGAAAATATGTATACCACATAGAAAGAAAAATTGTAGCTGTTTTTAATACTCTTTTTAAAATTTAATTAAATTTAATTAATTTATTTGTCAGAGAGAGAGAGAGGGAGAACACAAGTAGGCAGAGAGGCAGGCAGAGGCAGAGAGAGAAGCAGGCTCCCTGCTGAGCAAGGAGCCCAATGCGGGACTTGATCCCAGGACCCTGAGATCATGACCTGAGCTGAAGGCAGCAGCTTAACCTGCTGAGCCACCCAGGCATCCCTGTTTTTAATACTTTTGATTGTGCTTTTTGATCTCTGTAGAATAAACATCCATTGCTTCTGTAATTAATAAGATAAAACTATTTTTTAAAAGATTCACAAAAACTGGATCAAGGATTTTATTATGACTTTTATTATTATTATTTAAATGATCTCTATGCCCAGTGTGGGGCTTGAACTCATAGCTCCAAGATCAAGAAGTCACATGACTGAGGCAGCCAGGTTACCCTGGACCAAGGATTTTAAAACAAATTAGTGTTTCTTATCCACTTGATTAATAATATTCAGTTTATAAATGTGATAATGATATAATTACTAGTAATAGTGTTCTTAGAAGTATTTAATTGGGACATCAATTTGGCAATATTATTAACACATATATTCATATTCCTTGATCCAAAAACCCCACTTATAGGTATTTAACCTAGAAATATGTTGACTTATGGGCATTACATAAATATTGCTTTAAATAAAAAATAATTCAAAATAATTAAAGTTAACAATGAATTAAATTAGTCATGATAAATTTGTTATTGAATATGACTAGATTTATGACTATGTTCTGACACATAAAAATAACACATACCATTAAATAAGAAATGTAAGTTACAAACAGCAGTGTAATAGCTTTCTTTACTAAGTATTATAGGCTCATTAATTATTAAGTGCTTTATATAGATGCCTTGTTTAATGGCCACCCCAGATATAACTGTTATATTTTCACCATTATTGGCTCTGTTTTTATAAATGAAAAAAATGAGGCATTCCGTTTGGATGTACATCTTCTAACCAGAGCCATATGGCGACACTTTGAGATCCCTGGAGATATTTCTCTGCCTCTTGCATACCTTAAGACCACTTGGCACAACTATAGCAATGAGGTGTTTGTGATGAGAGATGTGTCTCTGAACTGTGAATTTCTCTTGGATCCCACACTTCAGATCTAGGGGAAGTTCTAGCTTCTCACCTACTTCATGCTGGGGTAGAGGAGAAACTCCAAAAGGTACAAAGTGCAAAAAGAGACAAGGTCTATGGTGTTAGAGGATGAAGCTATTTATGTCAACACAAAATCAAAGACCCAAATTCTTTTGTGTCCCTCAAGTTTACCTCCTTTGGAGATACAGTATGCTTGGAAATACCAAGCTCATGAGGGAATCAGGACTACAGTAAGGGAAGTCAAGTCATGGACTGGGCAGGTCCCTGGAAGAACCCATTCTTTAATTCTTAATCACCATTGTCTACATACCATAGAATAGTCAATTACAGAAACTTTGTATGAAGTAATAAGAATATGAATAGTAAGAATAAGAACATAAAGACTATGAGTATGTAGCTCAGAATACACATTTCTGTGTGACACCACATATATCCTGAGGGTCCATATATCAAGTCTGATTTAGAGGAAGTTTTAGCAGTCAGTGACATCTTCTCAGCATGGAATCTGCTCCCTAACTAGCTGAGTGATGTTATGATCTTGACGACTTTTCTCAGTTTCTCTAAACTTCAATTTTTTCATTGCAGATGAAGAAACTGGACTCGGTATTTGTATGTTCCCTCACTGTCCGGTTTCCCACAATGACCAAAATTACCTCGAATGTATATATACTTAAAAACTATGTATATACTATATTTAATATATATTATAGATCTATCCTAATAATATATATTATTAATATATTAATGCATATCATTACTTATATATGTTATTGGAATGGTATCAGGCAAGGAGATAAAAATAAGTCTCTATTTTACTCTTGGCATCTAAGCCTCCGGAATAAAAGATACACCATCAGAAAGGAAGCAGTACAAGTGAAAACAACTCATTCTTTTCCACGGACCCTGACCCTGAACCATGAAGGCAGATCTGTAATGCTGCTTTTCCTTAGATTAGTTGCACATGAACAGCCTTGGACCTTCCCAGAGGGAGACATCCCATTCCGTCCTTCACAGCTTCCTCCTCATCCTCCTTCTGTCCTCCTCACACACCCAACCCAAAGCAGGACCACAGCCTGATTCTCAACCGAGGACTGGGATTGACCATTTGAGTATCATTAGGAAAGTGATTTCACCTTCTGTTCCTTGCTTTTCTCATAGCAGGAGAGTAAAGAGGAGAAAACTATCAACCATCTCCAGCAAGGCTGGAGACTGACACAAGGTAATTGCAAAACACCAGGTAGTAAATATGTGATCAATAAATATACTGTAAATGTCAGCTTGGGGATACCTACGTTCTGCCATTGTGCTCTATAGTAAATTAAGGATTCTTCAGTGCTTGCTTGATGTGGATCTTTGCCTGAGGCAACTTCCTGATGGAATCCACCTTTGCGCAGCATGAGAACCAGGAAATATGGTTGCATAGCTACAGAGCTGTTGGTGTTTGACTAAAGGAATGGAGCCAGTTATCCCACTTTATACAGGGCTAGAATCACAAGCCACACAAAGTGCCTTCATGCAAACTGCCAGAAGGTGCTTCATTTGGCAGACCAATGAGCCATTATGCCCCCTCAGGGACATGATTCTGAACGGAGTGTTCTGAGCTAAAGCAATCCTTCCCTAAGACACAGCTCTTGGCAAACAAAGCACAGAGGGTTTCTGGGCTGACGTGGGCTCTCAGCTGGCCTTCTCTGAGCAGGGCACAACCCGTCCAACATGCCTATTCTTGACCCCAGCCTCAACTTGTTAAGATCACACCCAGAGTATAAATGCAAATACTGCTTGGGATTTGGGGGGCTCAGCCTGATCTGCAGGCCACAGATGATTTGCTTTGAAGCAACACACCAAAGAGACTCCTGTTATAGAATTCCTTTACAATAAAAAACGTTTATTATTTTTTCCAAGTTATAAAAATTATACACACAAAATATGGTCACAGGCACAGAAAAGTATAAAAGTATAAAAAATAAAATGAGAAGTACCCATTACCACTCTATTCCCCAGAATTAATGCTGGTATATCTTGAACTTCTCTCATATATATGTGTGTATTTTTTTTTCTATACTTAGATTTTACCTCCATAGCATCATTGTTAATGGCATCCAGGTTTTTAGAAGGATATTACAGTGAGATTTCCATATGTGAATCAGGACCGAGTGGTTGTTTCTTGTTTTTCCTGGGCTTGATGACCTTAAAGAGGAAAGAGATGGCAATAAAACAGTTGAGATGCAACTGATTCTTTCTCCCTGCACTGACTTTTTCTCCCAGCCACTGGCTACATTCCTTCTCTCCTTTTCCTGTAAGGCTCTTGCTCTCACTTCTCTCCTTCAATGAATTCCTGTCCTTTGAGTCACCCCACCCACCTTGGTTGAGACCATGAAGTGAGGTAGTCACTCACACGCAGCATGAGTGCATGTGGACAGGGCAGAAGAGAGGAGGGAGAAGGTGTACTCAAGGCCAAGAGCTAAGGGGAAGGTTCTCACTGGGAAGATGAGTAGGAGGAGAGTGTGAGGCTATGAGGGAAAGGCTGGAAGTTTGAGGGCCTCAGAACTGGAGAGACCTAAAAATGTGGGAACTGCTGTGTGTCTGGAGACATCAACTTTTGTATTGACCTGTTTCATTCCAGTATTATCCTTTGGTGGTCTTCCCACAATCCCTCATGCATGTGTGTGGTGAAGAGCGTGGACTTAGTCCTGTAGTACCAATGCCCTCTGTCTGTGTAGACCAGTCTGTATATCTCACTAAAGGCAGGTCACTTTGTGTTTTGAGATATTCAGGGGCATTTTTGATCATTTAGGTCTGGTATGAACTCTGTTTAACATCCTCTGGGATAGAGGATATTCTCCCCATATCATAGATGATGAATGTGAGGTTCCTGGTATTTAAGTTCACTAGCCAGTTAGGAAATCACAGAGCCAGAATTTGAAACAAATGTGCCTTAATGAAGCCCAAATTTACTAAATAATCTCCCTGCTTTGATACATTCAACCAACTCTATAATACTTAGCTAATTTTCTACTTTGAAGGCCTCTCTGGGGTTTCTCCTGTCAACGTAATTAAAAATGTCTCTCCCTCTCTCTCTCTCTCTCTCTTAAAGAAAGAATGATGGAAAGGACAGTCAATCTGGTTTTCTTAAAGTCTTCTATATTGGAAAAATGATTTTCCCCAGAAGTTCCCACCTTGATGAAACTGTGAATTACAGATCTCAGCTGTCTTGGATCTGTGCTGAGTTCAAAGCAGATGAGTTTGAGTTTATCGCCTTCCTCACAGTTGATGTTGGTCAGTCGTCCATACACAAAGACCTCTATCTTCCCTGTATTATCTTGTATTTCATACAAAATGATTTGCTCACTCAACACGTTTTTCTACAAAAGAAAAGCAATGCCCTTCTCCTGAGAACTGGATCAGATTTCCACATCTATGAGAAACACAGGGTGTGGGTGTATACTTTTGTCTCTGACAGGTTAATATGATCTGGGGGTCCAGAATGAGGGGTAAAAAATAGCTTAAAATATTTTGTTCAGAGAATTCGCCTTATGAGTCTGAAGATTGCCACTAATCATCATTAAGTAGATTATGTCATTTCTGTAATTCTTCTTCATTCTCTATTTATTCACTCCTCCAATTCTGCCCAAATCTTGAATCTAGATCATCTAGTCCCATTGTTCTAGGTTTCTTCTCACTCACTACTCACTAATTCTGCATATGCACCTGTGTGCACAGCCACTTACACAGAAGGCACAGGAAAGAACAGGGGTAGAAGGAAAGAGCCACCCTAGAAGACACCTTTAATGGAATATGGACTAAAACTTCCCATAGAAAAGTAGGGTCGGCCCCACTTAGTATTTCCATGATGTGTTGGGACAGAAATACCTTCACTAATTCTAAGAATAAACCCAAATTATGCATTTTATTGACCATATTAATAAACTGAGTAGTTTAAAAAAAAAATTGGGGGGGAGGGACCATCAGAGAGAGAGAGAGAATCTTAAACATACTCCACACCCAGCATGGAGCCCAATGTGGGGCCCAATCTCACAATCCTGAGATCATGACCTGAGCTGAAATCAAAAGTTGGACGCTTAACCACCCAGGTGCCCCATAAATTGAGTATTAAACAACATGACTTCTCTAGTGTTTTCAATATCCATAATTCCCATTAGATAATGCCAAAATCAGTTGCCCAACAATATTGATGAGTGATTGTGAAGAGAAGAGCACTTTAAGATTCAGATGATCAGAATCTGAGCTAACTATTGGAAACAGCTGCATTTTAGGGCAGAGTCATCTCTTTATTTTTTACTCTGGTTGTCACAACTGGCATCCAAGTTTGAGAGGATAGCTATTCACAGTTAACTTAACCTGCTACTGAAATGGATGAAACAGAACTGAAACAAAATCATAAGAATATGTATACTAATAGAAAGTCTGCACTCTACTGGACCAGGATACTTGTGACCAGATCATTATATCTGATAAATGCCAAGGATTCTGGGAAATATCTTTCTGTAGAGATTGCATGGCATTACCTTGGGAAGCAGATCATGAAGAGTTTTTCTAGCCCATATCCTGAAGCGGGAAGCTTCTATCCAACTACACTGGTCAGTGAGCCCTTGAGTTCATATATTTCAGAAGTTAACCAGACTCTACTTGGCAAATCCAGATCTTCAAACTCTGGGGTTGCAGAAGAAATAGTACAAATCAATGGTGTTGGGCTTACCTTATGCACCTGATATATCCCACTCACAAATGTTCCTGGCTTTTGTGAGTAAAGAGTATTGATTTTAGGAGTTGCTTTTGCATTTTGGATTAGTCTGCTTGAGATTTCCATCTTTTGGTCAGAATTGACATCAGACACCTGAGAGGTACCATACAGCTCCAGGAACCCATTGCGACCATGGTAATCTGATATGGCGATGATATTCTTCGGGATGAACTTATTCTTCAGGCTGACATGAAAAACCTTTACGTGGAAGAATTGGCTCTCAGTAGCCACGGTGGCATGGAACATCTTTTTCTCTGCTTTCATGGGATCATATGTAAATGGTTCTGTTGCTTTCAACACCATCACTTCCTTGGGGCCCTTCTGGAAACCCTCTTCTATGGAAGCTTCTGTGGGTACAACCTTCAATCTTGGTTTCTACTTGGAAGTACACACCAAAAAGAGGCACCATTAGGAAAGGGAAAACAGTCACTTTCTAGTGAGAGCCACCTACGCTCAATTTTGAGACTCCAGAAATACCTGATTGGATGGGTTTGGGAGAAAAATGAGCTAGGCAGAAATGGCTGATCTGGTATGATGTAGCCCATGAAAGGCATGGAGAAGAGTTAAACATAATTTTTTTTTCATTCTTTTATGAGTTTGAGAGGAATAATATTTTTCTCTAAAAGTGATTAACCCAAGATAAAATGTATTTCTCCTAGGAGAGCTCTGTCATGTGTAGAGAAAGTAGGCAATAGCCATGTTGTCATGAAGGGATTCCCAGTAGAGATGACGATGAATATATCATCTTAATTTACTAATCAACTCATTTTAGTGAGCACAGTAAGCTGTAAATAGGGAAGAAAATAAATCGTCTTAACAGCACTGACAGTGGGAAGGGCTCTAGTCAGAAACCACTGATTTCATCTGGAATCAATTCCAGTAGATGTCGCAATAAAAGACAGAAACCACTAACCCTTTTCCAAGAAGTGTTGTGCTAAAAAGAGGTTAAACAAGTACTGGAGAATCTCATGAACTTTCCTAATTTGGAAATGTCCTGGCTCCAGGCTCTTGAAGAGTAGCAGAATGAGCCATCTGAACATATGCTTCCTTGGCATAGAATTATATTGAACTGATTATTTAGAAAAATAGCAGATTTAGGAAAAACTCTACAAAGAGAATAGAATTGCCCTTCTGTAAGGAACATGCGTGTCTCTCTCTCCACCAGGAAGAGGACATCTCTAAATCACAAGAAAATCTTATGATGAAAAACAACCTACCGAAATCTGCATAACAAACACCCTTGTTTATCCCCTTTTCCTGGTAACCTCCCTATGTGGCCTCCACACTTTCCTTTCTCTTGTCTTTAGCTGAAGATGGTATTTCAGCGGGTAGTTTCTGCCACCTCAGGGAGTTACTAATTTTTCCCTGTTTCTCCCAGGTATATGTGAAGCATGTTTATTATAACAAACTTCTGCTTGCTTTTCTCTTATTAATCTGTCGCCTATTAAAGGGGTCTCAGCCAAGCACTTAGAAGGGTAAAGGAGGAGAATAATTGCGCCTTGTACCACACTGTTCTGTTGGAATCATGGCAGACCCTGAGGTCCATGTCAGTGGAGAAGCCAAGTGTCAGGGGAATTTCTCTGACATCCTGTCTCCCGAGTGGCCTGAATCACGTCAGAGTTTCAGGAGAGCACTTGGAATTAGAGGGTATTATCAATCTGTAAAAGGAAGTATGAAGGCAAGGACCAAGGTAGAAGTGCCAGGATTGCGTATAAAGCCGCGAGCTGGCTGTACCACAGACCAGCAATGCTTCTTGTGATCTGACCTGGAAAACGATTATGGATCTACCCTGGCCCACGCATATCTGATGCACACGTGTTCTTTTGCTCATTGCAGGTCTGAGGAATTCTGGAAATAACCTAAAGTCAAATAATACAGTTATTTTTCTAATTTATGGAATAACCATGTAATTTTTCTTATACATTAAAATAAGAATTTAAATCTACATTCGTTGAGTTAAATAGCACTTCAAAGCATATTAAGTGACAAAAAAACTCCTCAAATTGGATTATAGAAAAATATATGTCATGGGACAAAACAATATTCTTTGTGCATACATAACAAAGGGTAAAATCAGAAAAGACTATTTTCAAAATGTGATGTTTGATGTAAGAGAGATCAGATAATAAAATTTTACTTATTTTTGTCTGTGCATCTCGGTTTCCTAAATTTCCTAAGATAATATTATTTATGTAATAAAAATGGGAGAGGAAAAATGGGTGATAGTGCTCTATCTGACTCTGTATTTCTACACTCTCTTCCACAATAAGTGGTCTCTGTTATGTATTGAGGAAAACACAAAAATAAAATCAAACAAATGACCAATTATATCCCATGTGGAATAAGTATTATTAGCTGTCCACTGGCTCTTAGGTTATTTTAATGCAGAGGGGAACCATAATAAGAGTTGGAATTTGAATTTAGGTGGGATCTTAAAATATACACTCAGTAAATAAGTAAATAAATGAGTGATTTAAATAAAGAAGTCATTGTATGCAGTTCGGGGTTACTAAGAATCCCTTCCTCGGTTCTGTTGATCCTTGACATCCCCTAACAAGGAAGGAAAATACTGGAAACAGGCACCGGATACTCTGGTTAAGGAACTGCTGGTGGGGTATTTGGTAGAATCTGCGGAATGCAGGGACGACTTGCATTTGGGTCTGGGCTGGTTGCTGAAGGTTCTAGAAGCTGACTTTGTGAGCTTTTCTCAAAAAACAGTTAAACTGAAAGCTTCTATCTTAATAATAGCATTTGCATGCTGACATATACTTTCTGATTGGATGATATTTAATCATAACTGATCATTTTCCCAGAGATTATATCCCTTATCTCCATGAACCATTCAGCACACAGGATGGTCTGTCCAAAGCTGTTTGCTTCAGGAGAGTCATACCAACAGGTCTCAAGGGTAATATCAGTTGGTGTCTGCTTTTAAGGCAACAGAACAGAGCCCACACCTTGGAGGAAATCCTTGATGAGCCAGAGCAAGGCTTTCCCACTCACATAATGAAGCATAGAGTGAAGAGAAGGACCCTTTTTAGAGGCATCCCGTGCAGGTTGCCAGACCCCAGAGGAAGGATGACAGGTCAGTGGTGTGTAGGTTTAAGAGGGTGAGGGGTGGAGGAGGCTGCCTGGGGTTCCTGTGCTCCAAGGATGTTTCAGGGCAGCAGAAGTATTCTTATGTGAGAAGAAATGACCATGTCCCCTATACAGGCAGATGAGGACGTAGAAAGTATCTCTTTCAAGCCAGTATGCCTGGAGAGATTAGAGTTGTCCTGAGATGGGTGTCTACATCACTGTCATGCCAGAGAAACAGAGGGCCGAGATGCCAATGACCAGATATGGTCACAGGCATGGCCGCCTGGCCTGGAGACAAACAGGCAGGGGTTACTAGCTCCATCCCATAGGTCTTGGAGATACTGTGGAGGGAATATGAGTTATGGATGCTGACAACAGCAGGAATAAGAAGACAGACTTGAGGGAGACCTGGGTGTCTTAGGCAGTTAAGGATAAACCTTTGGCTTAGTTCAAGATCCCAGGGTCCTGGGATTGAGCCCCTACAGGGTCCCTGTTCAGTGGGGAGACTGAGTCGCCCTTGATTCCTGTTGTTCCCACTTCTGACATACTCTTTCTCAAAAAATAAATAAAATCTTAAAAAAAGAAAAAGAAGACAGAAGTTGAGAAAATGTGTCCATAGGAAGCTGCCTTTAGCTGCTATGTGTGTACTCGGGGCAGGGTACAGCCTGGGTCAGGGGACAGCTTGGAAGGGGTAATAAACCACACTAGAGGTCAGTGATTGATATGCTGCTATGCCATTTCTTTAGGTTGCCTGTGAATTTGACACAGAATGGGCATTGTACCCCTGAGTGCTGGCAGCCACTCGGGCCACACAGGCAGGCCAGGAAAGAATTGATACTCTCACACCTCCATCTGGCCTTCCCTATCATCCTAGGTTATTGTCCAAGATGAAAGGAGAGCACAGGCTCATTACAATATTTTCAAAAGCTGGGCGGGAAAAATAAAGGGATTCATGAAAAGGAGCAGTGGGAAGATGTGACATATTGTTGTCAGGGCATCGGGGAAGGCTTGCCAGAGGAAAACAGTCAGGCTGGTCTCTAAAGAGTGGGTGTCTCTGGGCCAGTAAAAAGATAGGAAGAATGAATTCCAAATCTCAGAAATAGCATGTGGTCACACAGCTGACATGGGAGGGAGCACTGAATGCTGGACATGAATCCAGAAGAGTGGTCAGTAAGCTAAGAGGAAATGGCTGAATGGAGAACTTAGGGGATAAACATCCTCTTAAACTCATCTCCAATTGTCTGCCCACTTCCCACCCCTACTCCTGGACCAAGCTGGTAGACCTCTTGAGATCAGGAATTATGTTAAAATGCATACTTTGCAAGTAGCAATGGACTTCTAATACAACAAAATCTTGGAGTCTGCATTTGGTAAACTAATGGGTGGCTGTTGGTATTTGGAGAATTTATACATACTACGGAAGTACTAAGAAGCTCTCTCAAGGTCATGGTGAGTCTTGTAGCATGTTGTGGAGGGGCACAAGTGGTGGGAAGAGGGTGGGGTACCTTGGTTGTGGAACTGCTGCCTGGGGTCGGTGCAGGCATCTGCGGAGTCTGAGGGTAGCTACAAGTTGACTGTGTACTGGTTGCAGAAGGTCCTGGAAGCTGACTCTGTCCCTGGGTTGGCTGGGTCTTCTTAGGTCCATCATTTTGTGTGGTTTCCATTTTCTTGTTCTGAAAGTAGTTTTTTCCCCATGCTTAATGGTTTTCCATATCAGATAAATCAGAACATCTCTCTTTCTCTCTGTTCCTGTCTCTCCCTCCCTCCTTTCCCTCCTTCTCTTTCTGTCTGTCTCTCCCCTTCTCTGCCTAACACAGACCAGGATCTTCACTCTGGAATTAAAGCACATAGGCAGATACCTCCAACATCCCCCCAGCTCAGACACCGACAAGGATTACCAATGTCACTCTGCAAATTTTAACAAGTCAGATAATTCAAATTTCATTGCTCTGTTGTGGAATTCTGTTCTACTTCTGCAGCAGACTGGCCTATCTATGCCTCTTCCTCAGGAGAACACTGGATTCATGGACTGATAGAAAGTCCTCCCAGGTTCTAAGGGAAGCAGGTCTCAGAAGAACATCGGCTGGGGTGAAGGACGTTTTATTAGCCAGGTCTTTATCTCCGTGAACCTGTTGCAGATAAGCATATTGGTTTCCATCCCCTGTTCTTTGGTTCTAGAACATCCCAACTTCATCCATTTAGATGCTTTGTTTATCATCCCAGAAAGATTCCCTCGGATTCATAATTCTGGAGGCAGGATCCTGACCTAGCAACCAAATCCCTCAGAGATCTCAACAACACACAGGCTCATGCAGGAATTCACCCAGGCTGTTCCCAGTACCTGGGTTTTCATAATTGTTTAGTAAGTGCAGGAAGTGTCAGTAAATCTTTGCCCTTGACTACCATTACTTTTATTAATGAAAGCCCTTTTGTACCATTCTACGTCCAATATAAGTTTGCCACATCTCTGCCACTTTTAGGATTCATTTGTCTAATTCATAAGGCATAACTAGTTGATGAAGCTGTGCATGGGGGAGCTCCTGGAAATAGCTTCCTCTTCCGTACAGCTTCCTGATTAGAGAAACCTCAGACCCTCCACCATCCACAACCAGCCATTCCCCCCATGCTGTCAAGACCTCTTTCCTCATTAGGTGTTCAGAGCCTGGGCTATGGAAACAATGTCCAGACATGCCCCTGTCTATTCATCAATTTTAAAAAATAACCTCAAAAATATTGTAACACCCACCCACCTACCATGGGCTCAGTCACGACCACCAAGCATTCAAGTGTTGAGTTCTGACATTCACTGCCTGGGTGGCCCTTGCAGAAAGCTGTGAACCTCTACAATCCTCATTTTTCCCATTGGTGAATCAGGACTAGCAATAGCATCTGAGTGACAAATGATAAGTGGTCCATCAAGGAAAGATGAGTTCACATACAGGAAGCACAATTTCTAGAATCCAGTCACTAAATTTTCAATACAAAGTTGTGTCAAGATTGTTGTTAGCACTTCATGTCTATGCAGGGAGCTTGTATTTCCACTGAGATCCACAAATTTTTCATGCTTTGTATGTGACCCTCTCCATGCATGAGAAATGCTTTCCTAATACAACTAAAATCCCGAAGAGATATTACCTCATACCAGTGAGAATGGCTAAAATTAACAAGTCAGGAAACAACAAATGGTGAGGATGTGGAGAAAGGGAAACCCTCGTGCACTGTTGAGGGGAATGCAAGCTGGTGCAGCCACTCTGGAAAATATCATGGAGGTTTCTCCAGAAGTTGAAAATAGAGCTACCGTATGACTCAGCAATTGCACTCCTAGGTATTTACCCCAAAGATACAAATGTAGTGATCTGAAGGGACACGTGCACCCCAATGTTTATAGAAACAATATCCATAATAGCCAACCTGTGGAAAAAGCCAAGATATCCATCAACAGATGAATGGATAAAGAAGATGTGGCATAGATATATACAATGGAATATTATTCAGCCATCACAAAGGATGAATTCTTAACATTTACATTAAAATGGATGGAATGGGTGGGTATTATGCTGAACAAAATAAGTCAATCAAAAAAAGGCAAGTATCTTATGGTTTCATTCATATGTGGGATACAGGAAACAGCACAGATGCTCATAGTGGAAGGAGGGGGAATGGAATGGAAAAAAAGTAGAGAGGGAATCAAACCATGAGATGCTGTTAACTATAGGAAAGAAACTGAGGGTTGCTGTAAAGGTGGTGGGTGGGGGGATGGGGAGCACAGGGTGATGGGCATGAAGGAAGGCATAAGATGTGATGACTACTTGTTGTTAGGTACAACTGATGAATTGCTGAAGTCTATATATGAAAGTAATGAGGTGGGAAATGTTGGCTAATCAAATTTAAATTAAAAAAGAAGCTTCTCTATTTCTGCCACATGTAGTAATTTAAATTCATGGAGAAGAACTTTTGGAAGCTTCTCCCAAAATTATTTATACTGAAAGCTTCTATCTGAATAATAGATTTGGATGCTGAATTATACTTTCTGATTGGACAATGTTTAAAAATCATAACTGGTCATTTTCCCAGAACTTACTTCCCTCATCTCCCTGTCCCATTCAGCAGAGAGGATGGTCTGAGCTGTTTGCTTCAGAAGAGACAGAGCAGCAGGTCTCAAGGGCAATATTGGTCTGTCTTGTTTTGAGGCAACAGAATAAAGAGAGCCCACACCTTAGAGAAAATCCTTGGGAGACCCCGTGATGAGCCACAGCAAGACTTTCCTGCTCACCTAGTGAAGCATAGAGTGAAGAGTCAGATACCTTTTTACAGGTGTCCTGTGCAGGTGGCTGGACCCCAGAGGAGGAATGGCAGCTCTAGAGTGTGTAGGTGTAAGAGCCTGAGGGTGTGGAGGAGGCCCCTGGGGTCCCTGTGCTCCAAGGCGGTTTCAGGGCAGCAGGAGGATTCTTATGTGTGAAGAAATGACCATGTCACCTGTATAGGCAGATGGGGACATATAAAGTGTCCTTTCCAAGCCAATATGCATAGCCAAAATGGAGTTGTCCTAAGATGGGCACCTGTGTCATTGTCATAGCAGAGAAAATGGGGGGCTAAGGTTCCAATGACTTGATAAGGTCACAGGCACAAGTGTCTAGCTCCATCCCATAAGTTAGTTGTGGAGAGACTGTAGGGGGAGTATGAGTTATAGGGACTGACAACAGCAAGAATAAGAAGACAGAATTTGAGAAATCTTGTCCATAGGGAGTCTGCCCTCAACTGCCATGTGTGTGTATTGGGGGTGGGCTACAACCTGGGTCAGGGACAGCTTGGGGTCAGGTAACAAACTATATGAGAGGACAGTGATTACGATACTACTTTGTCCATCCCTCAGGTTGCGTGTGCACTTGTCACAGAATGGACATTGTACATCTGAGTGTTGGCAACTGCAAGGGCCATGCCATGGTGGCGCAGAGGCAGGATACAGAGGAGGGGATGCATGTTTGTAGCACTCACCTGCCTACCCTTGTCCTGTGTTTCTGAGGTTATTGTCCAGGAAGAAAAGAGAGCATAAGACTCATATAATGATTGCAAATGCTGGGTAGGAAAGATAAAAGGACCCATGAAAGGGAGCAGTAGAAGATGTGATGTATTGTCATCAGGAATTGGGGAAGTCTTGCCAGAGGAAAGCAGTCAGGCTGGTGTCTGAAAGGAGCTGTCCCTGGGCCAGTGCAAAGATAGGAGCAATGAATTCCAAATCACAGAAGTAGCATGTATTCACATAGCTAACATGGGAAGGAGTACCACATGTAGGTCACGAGTCCAGAAGAATGGCCAGTAAATCAAGAAGAAATGGTTGAATGAAGAACACAAGGGATAATCATCGTCTAATGTTCATCTCCAATTGTCTGTCCACTTCCCACCCCTACTACTGGATCAAGCCAGTAGACCTCTTGAGATCCGGAATTATGTCAAAATGCACACCTTGCAAGTAGCAAAGGACGTGTAATACAACAAAATCTCAGTGGCTGCACTTGGTAAACTAATGGGTGGTTTTTGGTATTTAGGGAATTTATACATAGTAGAGAATTACTGAGAAGGTCTTTCAAGGTCATGGAGAGTCTTGTAGCATGTTGTGAAGGGGTACAAGCGTGGGAAGAGGGGGATGGTACCTTAGTTGCAGAACTGCTGCCTGGGGTCGGTGCAGGCATCTGCGGAGTCTGAGGGTAGCTACAAGTTGACTGTGTGCTGGTTGCAGAAGGTCCTGGAAGCTGACTCTGTTCCTGGGTTGGCTGGGTCCTCATAGATTCATCTTCTTGTGTTGTTTTGATTTTCTTTTTCTGAAAGTAAGTTTCACCCCTGGTTAATGGTTTCCAATATTAGATGAAACACATCATTACTACTGAGCAAATCAAGTTTTTATTACTAGTTTCTAATTATGTCAAAACTTCTGTGTTCATGAAATCCAGGAGGTACATGGATTCAATCCCGTTAAGAGATGACGGTAAAGCAGGCAGCCCACACATATAATTGATTCATACCAGAGCCTGGGAATCCTCCTCATCCTTGGGAAGAATGCTGTACTGGAATTTATAAAATTTACGTTTGAATTTTTGTCTCTTTGAGCAGGCTTGGCAAGCTACTCTCCTAGTGTGACTTCCAATTTTGTGCACATGTAAGGAGGGGTCATGACTCCACATCTCCTTCACGGGGACTTATCCACACTTGTGATGTGCACACAGTTCCAAAACATCATGGGTGATCATAACTATGGGCGTGCTGACTCTGAACCTTGTTTTCACTCTGCTCCTGGAATCCCTTTTCCCCGATTCTTGTATTTGCAGGTTGAGGAATGAGTAAAGCACTTGGTGTACATAAGAAGGTAATAAGTGATAGAGCCTAGAAGAAGCTCCTTCCGTGGGACCTTCTCCATCCTACCTTGGACATGACTGCGTCATGGACTGATCCCGAAGCTTCGTTCATGGTAGATGTGGATTCGTCAGTACTGGGTGAATCCCGCTTTCTTTTCTTCCTGGGCTCTTTCCCTCTTGCTCTGCTTTGCCTCATAACTGAAGCAGTTAAAAACAACATGATGAATCCCAGGAGCTGGTCTAGGGCAGCTGTAGCACTTCCGTTACTGCGTCCTCTCAGCTCCTGTTTGTGGGTCTGGGAATGCTGGTGTGCTCCCCTCCTGCATCAGCCCGCTGACCAGAGCACAGGTGCAGACTCACAAGGCCAGTTCCCTTTCTCCCCCAGGTACATGAGCACACCCCTCCAATCCCCTGCACTCGCAGGTACCTCAGTCAAACCCTTTTCCCACCTTATCCTACACATTCTTTTTAAGAATCTGTAATTTTAGGACACCTGGGTGGCTCAGTCCATTAAGTGTCTGCCTTTGGCTCAGGTCATGGTCCCAGGGTCCTGGGATCCAGCCCCTCAACAGGCTCCCTGCTCAGAAGGAAGCCTGCTTCTCTCTCTGCTCCTCTCCCTGCTTTGCTCCCTCTCTCATTGTCAAATAAATACATAAAATCTTGAAAAAAAAAATCTGCAGTTTTCATAATGCATGTGGTGGGTTAACTCCTATGGAACGTCTGTTTGAATTACAGAAACCAGAGAAGGAAATCTGATCTAATTGGTGATATGACAAGTTGGTGATACTGGACTTAATGTTTTAAAATGTTTTTAGGATCCAGTGATTTTAGAGGAGGCAAAATCTTCACATCTCTGAGAATTAGCTTTTTCTTTTAAAAAAGTTATGTTCTTTAGCAAGAAACTTTTAGTCATGTTTCATAACTTTTAGTAACTTTTAGTCATGTTTCTTGCTAAAGAACATAGTAATGATGGCATAAATAATGTAATAGAACACCATACGGACTGAGTGAAGAATTTTTAAATCTTATGATTTTTCCTAATTTTTCTTTGTCGCTCTTCAACCTTTGTAATATGTAGAAGCCTCTGCCTTTCTCATCAACTCTTTCTGCTTTTTTCTTTACCCACACCCCCAAAATACACCCTGTAAAATATAGTGGACCTCTTTATAGTAAAGGGATTGTCTAAACTGTCGACTTGTTGGTGTCTGAAGGGCTACCTCATCTCAGCTACCCAGTTGGAAATTGGGAAAGGGATCACTCAGCTGTGCCAATTCCAGGGCTCCCTCTGATGTGGGGGGCCCGGACCCTGACAGTGAGTGCTCCTGCCCATTACCTTTTTTCTTCTCATTTTTAAGAGTTTTAACAATGTCTCCAAGCCCTTCTATGTCTTTGAACAGATTTACTAGCTTGTCCACACAGGCAGGCCCTGGGAACTTCCTTTCCATTAGGTCAGCAATCTGGACCTTGTTATACTCTTCTTGCATTTTTCTGGTGAGTCTCAGATCGCGGGCCAGCAGGGACTTGACTATGCTGAACTGGTACTCGTTGATGACCTCCAGTCCCTTCAGCAGAATAATTCTCTTGTACTCACTCCCCATCTCTCCGGGTGTGGCTGAGCCTGAAAGAGAAAAATACCATACGGTGTTATACCTTCATCCGGATGGTTTAAAAGTTCGGTTGTGTCTATGTGAGGGAGGCACCCATGCCAAGGTGTCTTCCTTGCGTGTGTGTGACAAAGAGGAACTTAATTTCCAGGTGTGTCACTGTGGGAAATGGGTTGAGAACTACTATATTCGGGACTTCGAAGAAATTCTTTCCTTTTAGTAATGATAGTTGAGTTGAGTTGGGTTGGGTTGGGAGTGGGTGTGGTGGCAGGAGGTCTGGAAAGAGGCAGCTGATGCCCTGTGTGGAGTGTGGGCTGTAGGGGGTCAGAATCACGGTCCTAATAGACCAGGACTATTTAGTAGTCGTTTTGCTGGAGTTCTACTTTCTTGCTAGAGCAGGAACCCAGCAGTTATTGGCTGAAATTATTTCAAGAGTTGCTTGATTTTACCCTTCTAGGCTGAATTCCTCTTACTAGTTCTTTTTGGAGAGCCAGCTCTCCCTCTACGGAGCCCCATTTTTATCCCAGTTGACATCCTCCAATAGTTCCCCATTTTGGTTTTGAAAAATTTCTTGCTTTTTAGCCTAGCTTGGGAAGCCTTGAATAATCTGCATCATTTTTACATCTGTAACTTTTGTATTTTGTATGTCATATGTTCCAGAAATATACAATACACCTTGTCTTTCCAAGTTTCATGACTTTGCTAGTTCCCTCCCTGCTTCCCAAAGAGCCAGCCTCACTTTTCTTTCTCCCACCACCTCCTTACAGCCTTCAAGACTCCACTGAGGCTTTGTCTCCTGAAACCCACCGGAGTCCCCTTTTGGGCCTGGGTGTCGTCCTCTGGGTCTCTTTATCACCGTGTGTACTTCCCCCATGGAACTCAGTACATGGTAAGGATTCCGATTTTCTGTTCAAAGTCATAAATTCTTTTCATTTAGGGACAGCGTGTTTGTGTGATTTTTGTATAATTAGCATGTTCAGAATCCCAGGGCTAAGAATTATTCCTCCTTGAGAGAATGTGAGCATTTCCAGATTCATCAGGCCCATAGAGTGAAGGATAAAACCTCGAGATATATTATGGGGGAATTGAAGATTATTAAAAACAAAGTTAAAAACTCTGAAAGCTTCCAGAGACAAAGAGTGGGTCACCTGTAAAGACACAAGGATGAGATTGAAACTGATGTTCAAAGCAAAGCTGCCCACCACAGGAAAATAAGGTCAATTTTCATGTAGTACTCATCCAAATTCCATTATCTATTTCAAAATCGAGTAATTTTTAAAATGAAATTTTTGTGTTTTGTGTGTGTGTGTGTGTGTGTGACAACATAATTTATTTGCAAAATAAAACCAGATATGAGGTGACAGGAGGCTATGTTTAATCTTTATTCATTCCATCTAACTGTGAATATTCCTAAGTTTTACTGTTAAAATATTAGTGTATTTGGGGCACCTGGGTGGCTCAGTGGGTTAAGGCTCTGCCTTCGGCTCAGGTCGTGATCTCAGGGTCCTGGGATCGAGCCCCGCATAGGGCTCTCTGCACAGTGGGGAGCCTGCTTCCTCCTCTCTCTCTGCCTGCCTCTCTGCCTGCTTATGATCTCTCTCTTTAAAAAAAAATATATATATATATATATTTATTTATTTATAAGTGTATGGTGTCTAGTATTACAGTATTTAAAGTAGGTGTATTAAATAGCCTTTCCTTTCTAAAATGCCCCAGTTCTGAATTTCAAAACATATGTAGCCCCAGGGGTATCAGAAGAGGTACTGTCTATGTATCTTGAGGGCAAAATAATTTTAAAAGGTGAATTTTAAGCTAGCCCAAATCATATTTAAATGTGAGGGCCTCAGAAACTATTCTCTGATATTCAAGGCCTTGGTAGTTTAGAAAATAAAGTCCTATACAGATACATCTATTGGAGGAAATATTCAACACCAAAAATAACACATAGAGCCAAGAAATACCACAAGCCCAAAGGTAAGTAAGAGCAGGAACCAAGCCTGATCTGGTGTGCCTAGGCCTTCCACATGAATACAGCTCTGACCAAAGACAAGAGAGACAGCATATCCATAAATGGCCTACCCAGGTAAGTGACAAATTTAGTCAAATTGCATTTGTGGGGGAAAATGCATTTATGAAATCTGCCAATAGAGTATTAACAAAAGATCACTTAAAGGTGGGAAAATGAAAGAAAAATACTTTATCATGCAAAGAGTAACTAAAAGAAAACCAGTTTATCTATACTAGTATTGCTTGAAATAGACCTGAAGATGAAAAGTATCCCCAGAGTGCAAGACAACCATAAAGGCTGACCTCCTAGGGAAACAAAACAGTTGTCATTTTGCATTTACCTGCTAATAGTAAATATATATTATTGCTACTTTATATTCCTTTATAATGCTACAAATATTACATATTGTATTTTATAACATGATTGACATAATATGGAAATTGCATTTGTAGTATTATGTAGCATGTTTCTCCTCACTCATCCACACACACTTTTATATACATGTGTACATCTATACATAATTACATATGTAATGTACATTATGTTATTGTATATATAAATTTGAGGGAACTACAGGACAAAAACCTCACAATTTTATGGTAGGAGATTTTTTTTTTTACTTTTATTTATTTATTTGACAGAGATCACAAGTAGGCAGAGAGGCAGGCAGAGAGAGGGGGAAAGAAGCAGGCTCCCCGTGGAGCAGAGAGCCTGATGCAGGGGTCGATCCCAGGACCTTGAGATCATGACCTGAGCTGAAGGCAGAGGCTTTAACCCATGGAGCCACCCAGGAGCCCCTATGGTAGGAGATTTTAACATATCTCTTAATTACTAAATAAACAAGGTAAAAAATTCAGTAGAGACTTAGGAAATAGGACTAACATTATTAATAAGTATAACCAACAGGTTTATGTAACATACATAAGATTCCAAAATCAGCATTAAAAATCTCACACTCTGATCAAGCACATAGGAAATATTGTTATACAGGTCGTACAGAAAGTCGCTCAACAGTTCTGAAACTCTGTTTGTAGCTAACTCTTCTCCTCTTTCCCCTATACTTTGCCACTAGGAAAAAAAATCAGTAATTTTCAGGAAGGCAGACAGAAATGCTAAAAGGAACTGGAAAAACAGCTCTGGTGGTACAATCTGGAGTATAATATAAAAATTAAACTGCCTTACTCGAGGTAAACATATTTTTGCATAACTGTGTCTGGGGAAGTGAAACTTTTTCTGCTCTGTGCATGTATATGTGTGTGTGAGTGTTTTCTAAAATCAGGGTAAGACCACAATGCAGCTTTTTTTTTTTTTTTAAGATTTATTTATTTATTTAACAGAGATCACAAGTAGGCAGAGAGGCAGGCAGAGAGAGAAGAGGAAGCAGGCTCCCTGTAGAGCAGAGAACCCAATGCAGGGCTCGATCCAAGGACCCCAGGATCATGACCCAAGCTGAAGGCAGAGGCTTAACCCACTGAGCCACTCAGGTGCCCCCACAATGCAGCTTTAAATCCAGATGTATTTTTTTTCCTTATTATTATGTTCTGATAGTTTCCTTGTGCTCCTAACTTGACTTCTGACCAGAACTGTACCAAGGCTACCAAGAGCTTCCTGAACACCACCGAGGGAAGAAAACCAGACCCTTTTTCTAATATAACTGGTGCCAGTAGTCACCTGCGGAATAAATTTTAAAGTTTTCCACAGTCAAAATGCACCTCCTTTCGTTCAGGTGTCAGCTGTGGTGGGATAAACATGCCTGTTCCTTGTCTAGGTAGTAAAGGATTAGAATCAAGCTACTAATGTTTTCATGTCCCCAACTATGGTTGATACCAGCCCCCCTACCCCAATTCTTCATACACTAACCCCTGCCTACTCCCCAGTTGTTTTGTGTTCAGGCAGCAGGTGCCCACAGCTTTCTGCAGAAAGCCACAGCCTCACCTTGCTGAAAATCTCCACGAGTCTGGATCTTGATGTCGTCTTCAGAAATTCAGAAATCTCTGCTTAAGTCGTTTGAGGAGGGAGATAAGTCGACAAAGCCTTCAGAGGATGAACTGCAGGGTGTGATGACGTCCTGGAGGGCGGAGGGAAAAGAAGTATTTGAAAAGCTAGCAAGTGCAGATGGCGCTACTTAGCGTCCCAGAAAACTCAAGGGGCGGGGATGTCCTCACATGGCACGGCCCCAGGATGGAGAAGTTGCAACACAATGTGGAGACTCCTCCCTCGAGGCTGTTAGCTTTCGATTTCTTTAGTCAGAGAAAATCAGCAGTTTCCTTCCTGTGTGTGCCTAATCAAAATGAAAGATTATAGCAAAGGTATAATTGAGTGTTTTGTTACAAACGTCAGTAGATGGCCGAGTGCCAAGGTTACAACTCCAGCACACTTGCGGGTGGCTCCTTAGAGACCTGTATTTCTGTGGATGATGCTCAAATGTGAGAAAAGTTAGGATGAGTCACCGGACTGCTTATCTCTCACTTCCTGTTCCCAGAGTGGCAGGAGGAGATGCTGGAAGCGGTGTCTCTCTCTGTTCACCCTTGACTGTACCTCCTGGAAGAGGGTAGGTCAGCTATGAGATCACTCTAGGTTTAACTAGTGCCTGCAGCATTGACCCAGCTAGTAAGTGACATACCCAGAGCTTGACAGAAGTAGAAGGTCATTACCAATGTGTGAGTTCTTTGTCACAGAGGCAGCCCTTTCAGCTGTGTCTAGGCTACTTTACCTCACTGGTCAAATTAATGATCACTCACACTTCCTGCACTATTTGTGGAAAAGACACAGGTGGGTAGTCAGCTCCTATCTCAACAGCATAAGCCTTCGCTGTTTCTGGAAAACACTGAACCTCTGGACTGAGGGACTTGGTAAACCTCTCACTCTGCAGTGTTGTTTCCATGAAGGACAGTGGATGTACTCCAGAGCACTGTGAACCCTCACGTGTTGAATAACTGGCGCCAGTTGGCTGACCTGATGGTTGTAACCTACCAGCTGATCTGCAAGGAGGATGGAGCCATGGCTGGAAAAGGGTCCCAAAGGACAGCTGGTTCTGGTGGGTGATCCAAGGTCATCTAAAGGGAAGAAAGCTGATTGTTTTAATCCAAACGATAGTCGTGGAGTGGATAGCTAAAGTCTAGAGGTGGGAGCGTCTGAAAACTCCACCCAAGTGCGAGTAAGTCGTGGGAAGGCAAGGGGATCTGGCGAGATGTCCACAAACACATGTGGGTATCCCCTCCTTCTTTGTTGTAGGTTGTAGCTTTTATGGGTCTGTGGAGCTGCTCTTAAGGTAATTGGTGGAGAGGGATGTTAGAGAGGTCAGAGAGGTCCCCATCCCAGAGATCAGAGATCATATGGGAATGACCATATCAGGGTATTTTCCTGCTCCTTTTCTTGTCATCAGGTGGAATAATGTCCTTGGGTGGGACTCCAGAGTGCATACACGGATTACTGTCTTCAATAAGGACAATTCAGAGTAATGCCTCATAATTCATACAGTGCAGTTGGAATTTTAATAGATGAAACAAAGGAATGTTAAAAATGTGCATTTTTCCTAACAGGCAGTAGTCAAACAACTGGTGATTTATGCTGTCATGAAGAAAGCTCCCTAGTAAAACATAGAAGAACTCTTGATACAGAGAACAGATACACTTACGTGACTCTTCATTGCCCGAAGGATTAATTCACATAGTCAAAATCTTCAGGAGAAGTCCCCACTGGATTGGAGTCCTGTGCGCCAAAGCTGACACACTCTCTGTTTTTGTGAGTAAAGCTTTATTGCAATACAGACATGCTCATTTACTTATGCATTGTCTATGCCTGTCTTCATGGTGCCGCTGTGGAGCAAACCAGCCACAGAGCCTAGGGTTCACTCTATGGCTCTTTATAGAAAAACAAAAATGTTAGTCAACCTACACCCTAAGCCATCAGTCTAGGAGACAGCAGAGAGAATCTAAGGAGAAAAGCGGAAGTAAGCAGAAGAACAATCACATCAGGAAACCACGATTAGGCCTTCTCAAATCCACACTGGGCTCATGGAGGAAAGCTTAGTGACAAAGTTTGCATCTCAAAGAAAGAGAAAGGGAGGGTATAGGCTGAACTGTGTCCCCCCAAGTTCATGTGTTGAAGCCCCCCCCCCCGACTGTATTTGGTCGGAAATCAGGCCTTTAAGTAGGCAAGTAAGTTTAAGGTGATGTCCTAAGGGAGGGGCATTAATCCAATGGGACTGGTGTTTTTCTAAAAACAGGAGGTTTTAACCTACCCGGAGAGCAGGGAACACCGTGTGAGGACACAGTGAGAAGGTGATGGCCTGCGAACTGGAACTCAAGAGGAAGCAAACCTTTGACAATTTGATGTTGGATTTCCAGCCTCAAGAACACTGAGAAAATAGATTTCTGCTGTGTAAGCAGCCTCCCCACCCCCAACCCCCAGTCTGTATATTTTGTTAGGGCAGCTGTAGCAAAGGAGTCCGGGAAGAGTGGCAATATCCTTATCTTCAAGAGCTGGAAGGAAGCCTGCCAGAGTGGAAGCCTTGGCTGGCTCGATTTATGAATTCACAGGACCACTGGTCACTCAAACAGCTTGGTGTCCTGGGGCAGTCAATGTCTCCTTCCACAGAAACGCAAAGCATGATAGAGGTTTACATGTGGAATCAGTGTTGCATCCCTGAGTTCAAGCACAGGGTCCCAGGGCTCCCTATCGCTTATTACATATTGCTAGATTCAATTTTTAAGGATTTAAGAAAATATGTTTACATTTACTTTCATGAGGGAAGTCGGCTTCTATGTCTCTTTTTGCTTGATCTTTATCTGATTTGGGTATAATGGTGATGTAGGCATTTCTAAAAGCATGTGTCTAAGATCAGTAATACTTCCTCCTTAGTCACTTGATAGAATCATCAAGTGTTTATTCCCAGAGCTTTTGCTGTGGAAAGATTTTTATTACAAATGAATTTCTTTGTGTAGATATAGGGACATTCTGATGCTCCATTTCTTTATGAGGCAGTTTCGTTAAGTTGTGTTTTATAGGAATTTTGGCCATTGAATCTTAGTAACCAAACCTACTGTCCTCAAGTTGTTTAAGTATTTTTTTTTTATTATATTTTAAGTATCTGTAGGAGCTGCAGTGTCCCCGGAAAGTGGTCATTTCCATCATCTCCGTATTGGACACCATGAGAAGTCCCACTAGACAGACCATCTGTGAGGAAGGATATGCGGGAAAGCCTCACTACCTCACTACCAGAGCAGAACACAAGAGTCTGGCGCTTAACCAGCTGTGCCATCCGCCCCCCACCCCCAAATAATTTCTTTGACAGAAAACCTCTCAGTTATTTACCCACTTTTTACAGTGAAGAACCAATTTCTTTCTGATGTAAAGTAGGTTACTATGAAACACGTTTTTCCCCTCTGCAGCCAAATTTCCCCATACCCTCTCACATGCATCAAGCTTCCGCGGGAGGGACCCATTCACACAGCCTCATGCTTCGAGCATCTGCACGTGGTGCTTCCTCTACCTACCAACAGCTCCCATTCCTCCCTCTGCCAAGAACGATACTCCTGTGCACTGATGAGCCACAAGGGCTGTGATAAGCGATGTGTATGTATTCTCTCACTTACCTTTCTAATCGACCTGTGAGCGAGAGACTTTCTCCACGTGAGAGAAGTCCATTCAAGCTCTTTTCCCCCACACAACACAATGAGGGATTGATGGAGCCAGATCTGTGCCAGGCCTATCTGACTCCAGAGCCCTCGCTTTTAACCACCCAGCAAAGTCCTTCCCGACACTGCTCATGTCTACAAATCTTCTATCACTTAGCACAAGTTTCATATCCTTTTAAAACCTAATATTAACAGCTCTGGAAATAACATGTTGGCAAATATGCAGAGAAAGGGAACCCTTGTACACTGTTGGTGGGAAAGCAAACTGGTGAGCCACTTCTCAAAACGTTCCTCAAAAAGTTAAAAAGAGAACTACCCTATGACCCAGCAATAGCCTACTATGTATTTATCTAAAGATACAAACATAGTGGTTCGAAGGGGTACCTGCACCCCGAAGCTTATAGCAGAAATGGCCACAATTGCTAAAATACAGAGAGTCCAGATGTTCATTGGCAGATGAATGGATAAAGAAGATGTGATATATATATATGTGTGTGTATATATATATATACACACACATATATATATCTCCCAGCCATCAAAAAGAATGAAATCTTGCCATTTGCAACAATGTAGATTAAACTAGAGTGTATTATGCTAAGTGAAATAAGTCACTCAGAGAAAGACAAATACCATATGATTTCACTTATATGCAGAATTTAAGAAACAAAATAGATGAACATAGGGGAAGGGAAGGAAAAAGAAATAAGATGAAATCAAAGAGGGAGGGAAACTCTAAGAGATTCTTAACTATAAGGGATCTTAATTGAGGGTTGCTGGAGGGGAGATGGGTGGGGGGATGGAGTAAATGAGTGATGGGCATTAAGCAGGACACTTGTGATGAAACTGTGTGTTGTATGCAAGTGAAGAATCACTAAACTCTACCCCTGAAACCAATGCTACACTAGATGTTAACTAACTAGAATTTAAATAAAATCTTGAGGGAAAAAAATAAAGTCTATATGAAGGTAAGCTTACATATCCTTACTTAATATATCCTAATAAAATTCTTCATCTAATTTATTAGCACATTGTTGACGCTCTCATACTTCTGGTGTCAGCTGAATTCCTGTGGTAGGAATATAGTTTTCCCAAAGTCTACACCATTTTTTTTTTTTTGTCTCTTTGGAAAACTAATGTTGGTCTATAAGGCTCCCACCTTTATGGAACTATAAATTCCATATATAAGCTTTGACCTCTGGCTTGTTACTTTCAGTTAAAAGCAAAAGAGGGGATAATTATCTACTACATCACACTTGATATTGTACCATTTTCCTTCCCCCACTCCATATATCTTTTCTATATAATTCTCTGTTTATAGTGTTCCTATTCCTCTACAAAATATGACTATCTTGATATCTAATACGGCTACAGGAAAATTAGATGTTATAGACACATCAGGACGAGGGGAAGTTGGGGCACAAGCACCAAGTAGGAATTCATTTGAATTATGAGGTGACATTCTTTCCTCTCCAACTTGAATTCTTCTTCTACTAAGC